AAATTAAGAGGTTTTTCAGTCTCCAGGCATTACAACTGATGTTATTACAAGTTGCAGTTCTTAGCCACAGCAACATTGCATTCTCAGGAGATTGGTTCAGCTGTGCAGTATAAGCAGAACAAAGGATGCTGCTGGAGATAAAGCATTCCACTTCCCTGCATCTGCCAGTGCGTCCCTGCCCACCCTTCCTTTTATCCTGTTGGCTACACTTTCTTTTGGTTTGAGGCTCATGTGATTTCATAGAAAGGGGTTTACAGTAAATTGCATCATGAAACCCACCTCAGATACTTAAATGTACTTGCTTGGGTTTAGATCTTTTTTTTTTCTTTTTTTTTTTTTTACTTTTCTGTTGCTTTAGAAAAACCTACTGTATGTCCGGTACAGAGGACAAAGAGTGAAGGGACTCTTAACCTTTCCATTGGAAAGTCAATCATATAACTACAAAAAGCCACAAAATGAGAAAATCAGATGCAAAACAACAACAATGGGACATAAGTATAAAGTGCTTGATCACTTTTCATGACATTTACATTTTACTTTTTGGTTTTCCTTTCTCTTGGAGGCCATTATCATGTGTCCCCACCTGTATCATGTGTCCTTACCAGGAAAGTCACTGTAGCAGAATCCATCTCTCCTGCAGCCCCAACATGACAAAAGGCCTGTGATGTTGTACATACTTGGTATTTGTTAGTTTCCAGTGATCATTACTTTTATTGCAGGTTGTATTGCTCTTTGTTCTTATAGTGGAAGGACACACCTTTTTTCAAGCTTTAGTAAACATTTATTTTGAAACTGATGAATCTGTCCTGCATGATCTTCACAGGCTAAAAGCACTAATGATTCATGCTCAGGACTAAACTGACATACTAAACACAAGTGCTGTCAGTTAGTTCACATCACATGTTGCCACTTTGTCACATGTGGGACAGACATGAGGGCTTTGATACCATTAAATGCCTCATATCCTCAGATAGTAACAAGATCACACAGGTGGTCCAGCTTTTTCCTTCCACACACTGTGTCGCATTGTGGTTATAGAGGGTGTGTTGGTGTTACAGTGATGTGTTGTAGCAGGAAATATTATGCTCTAAGCAGGTGAGAGAGGATGTTAAGTAAATCAGAAAAGTCTGAGAAAGTCAGCATGTGTGTTGAACAGTGGATCAGACTGGACGTATGTAGACACATTGTCGAAGTTATAAAGTGACTGACTGAGGCCTCGTGGTTCACACAGTTGAAATTTGCCGTCTGTTGTGTAAAACATACATATTGAAAGATGAAAATGCTGCTGAGTCGACACAGCAATGCATGAGTGTTGCCAAGTCCTGGCATGAAATATAAATGCATGCAACAATATTAGGTGGCCCGATGTGTTAAAATGGTATTTCCTCGGGCAGCAGATATTGTGATGATGTGAAGCACATGTCAAAAGACATGAGCCTGCAGCATGTATGGTATAAATGCGCAGTGGAGCCTGTGCCACCATGAAAACAAGGACATTTCTCTTAGTTTCTCATTATGGAACTTGACTAATATTTACAACATCCTTTTCAAGCTACGAGATCATTTTCACATTATTGTGACGTTTTTCATTAATGCCAGATAGCAATTTGTGTTTCTGGACAATGCTTTTCTTGTTTTGTTGACACATCACTTCATTTAGAGGTTTCTACACATATCAGGTTATCAAGGTACAGTTGTTTTTAATGACATTTGTTGGCTTTGTGAAATGAGAAACTAAAACAGAAGTGAGCCAAACTTTAGCACGTTGTTGCTCTGATTAACTGCAGTGACAGTATCATCTAATTCATCACCAGCACAACAGCTTATATTTAGTCTCCAGTTTAGTCACATACGAACATGTTTCCTGACATTGACTCAAACTGTCACCAAGTATGTTAAAGTGTCCTTAACATAAACAGGCAGGTTATTTTTATGTGTTAAAATGTTTTAAATGTTATGGTGAACACTGTTTTCTGTGATTTTCTTGTATTTCCTTATAAGCCATAGTGGTGAAACACCTCAGTATCTTCAACCTTGTAATCATATAAACAGTATGTTGCTCTTTGTGATTCACTTCTGTATCATAGAAGATGAAATAAAATCAAAATTTCTACAAGAGGATGATGTGCCACTCAAAACACTTAAAGTGAGTAGCAACACGTCTGTGCAGATTCTCAGTCATCCAGGTCATAGTAATCAATTGGACTTGGTTTTAGGTTGAAGACGTTTCACCTCTCAACCAAGAGACTTCATCAGTTATGCCCGACTGGCGTTGGGCCAGAGATATTTATCCCCATTCGTGGTGTTTCAGTCCTTTGATGACCAACAATGTCCCCTAACGACTGAGTCATTATAACCAGGGAACACCCTGCAGCAAAAACTGGTCCACCCAAAGGACAAAACACCCAGACACAAACAGAGTGATGTGGTTTATGCAATTAAGTGTAGTCAGGAGTGTAATGACCTGTACATTGGTGAAACTAAGCAGCCGCTTCACAAACACATGGCCCAACACAGGAGGGCCCCAGAGTCAGCAGTCCACCTCCACCTGAAGGACAAGGGACATTCTTTTTGGGACAGTGAAGTCCAGATCCTCCTCAGAGAACATCGCTGGTTTGAGAGAGGAGTTAAGGAAGCTATTTTTGTGAAAAATAGAACACCCCTCACTAAATAAGGGTGGTGGACTAAGACACAACTTGTCATCCATCTACAATCCTGTTTCAAGATCTCTGGTGTTAGATATTAGTAAATCAGGTAGATAATTGTTAGACATTAATATGTTGAATCAGATATGTTAGTAATGCAAAAGTCTGCTCTAGTATGTTTTGTTTCAAGGTTAGCAGACAGAATGTTGATTCTGAAAAGTGAACCATAGGTACTTATGACATCAATTGTATTAATCTTGTGTTAGAATATTATGTCTGAACAAATGAATGAATGCCTTAGCTACACACCATGTGACAACATACACACACACACGATGAAATTCCTCATTTTGTTATGTTAGGTATTTTTAGTCAGATAGAAATTGGATAGATACTTTATGTATTAGAAATGTTTAGTGGAGACAGGATGTCTAGTTAGACTGTTAAATGCTTAGTCATGCTTATGAGTTTCTACAGGGTACATCTGGTCAAGGATAACTAGAGAGAAGAGTTGATGACTGTCAGCAGACAGGATGTTTAATATTATTATTATTATGATGTGTATAACTGTAGCCTTAGCCATAATATGTTCTTATGTTTAAGTCACGACATGTACTAGAAGTCTGTGAGAATGTTTTTAGTTACACACCACTTAA